ATTGTTGTATTGATGTTAGCTTCAATCCTCCTCCAAGTAAATTTCCCTAAAACACAGAACAGCAAGCAGATTAGACAGCAACATAGACTATAGGGAAAGCACACAGTGTTTTACTTCATTACGTCTCAGGAATATGGATTACAAACATGAGCTCAAGTTACAGGAAGCCAGATTTTGGTTGACTATCAGGAAAAACATCCTAACTTTTAAAGCAGTACTATAATGGAACCCATTACCTTGGGAGGTGGTAAGTGCTCCAATGCTGGAGATACTTAAGAGAAAATGAGACAACTAACTGTCAGAGATGGTTTGACTTGGATTCCTGCATTGAGCTGGGGTTGGACTCAGTGGCCCCTTCCAGCTCCATTATTCTATGATTTTGTGATTCTGTGACTCGCACAGAAAGGGCTATTTTAACTTTTTAAAAAGCTTACAAAGCAGTATTAGAGTCACTGCACACATTCATACACATCCTCTGCAAACTTGATACACAGAGTGCAAAATGTTGAGAAAGGATAAATTGCGGGACAGTAAAGAAGGCAGGCTTGTGCTGAAAGAAGCATGAACATTGAATGAATGAGTGTGTGAGAGAAAATAAAGCAATTTTAGCCAAGAAGATGACAAAAGTTGTATCTCTGACCTTCAGATTATGATGATACATTCCTACTTACACATTTGGTAACTGTAATCCACAACAATATGGGGAGGGGGGAGAAACATAGTTAAATATGAAATAGAAAAAAACTCAACCCAACATGTGAGGATGGTCTTTTTAATTGCACACACAAAAAGCAATAATAAATGAGTATCATATCTTACTAATCATTTCCTGCATTTGTTTTCTGGAAAAATGGGAAAAGGACATAGTATTGCTAGTGTCTCCAGCCAAACCCTTTTCTACAGTATCTACTGCTCTGTCATAGAAAAATGAGAATTCCTATATGAAATTCAAACACTGGGGAAAATGTGATCCATTTAGATTAAAACGCACGTACAAGGCAAAATAGAAAATCAGGACCTCAATTAGTAGAGTGCTTCAAACTTATAAGTAATAGTTTATATACATATATAGCTCATAATCCATTTTGCCCTAAATGCAGAAGTTATGGTACCAGTTGTATGTCTTCTTACTGCATTTGAAATGTTATGGGCAATCGAAGGCAAAAGCAAAAATGAAACCTCACAAACAGACCACATTTTTCATGTATGAATGTTTAATCAGAATACAAGCTTTACTGACTTTTTGAAATACAATTTGGGAAGAAGAAAGGAAAACATGAATCAGAAAACATGGGATTTAATGTGCTTGGGGGAAAAACAGATAAATCAAAAATTTTAGAAATAAATAACGCATAATCTCTATACTAAATGACTGTAAAAACTTAAATCTTCTGTAATAAAGTATATTCATAAAATTTACAAAAATGAATTGTATAGTTACAAATGTACAAGAGTCTGAATGAATTTTATAAATATTATTTATATGTTACTGCTGTGTTTTAAAAAAATAATAATAGCAATATTTGCTTAAAACAGATGCCTAAGGTTTTTAGACAAGTATAATAACAGCTTCTGAGGTTATTGCAATGCGTAAGATTTCCAGGTTTGTGGGAGAGACCTGGTGATCTCACCTGCAGAGATACCCATTTGCTTTCACAATCATCAAGGAATGTCAGTTAGATAGCTATGTGCCATCAAATTGTAACAAATTTATAGCAACCCTAATAGGGCTTTAAAGTAAACAGGATATTTAAGGAGTTGTTTTGCCAGTTTCACATCCCCAATGAGTCTCCATAGCTGAGTAGGGATTCAAACCCTGGTCTCCAGAGTTGTAGTCCATTGCTCTATCCACTACACTACACCACACTGGGTATCCCAGGAAGACCAAGGTAAGGTCAAATATGAACTGGCATGGTGCCAGTTCAAATCTTTCTGCTTCCTTGATATTTTCTTCTCCCATGAGAGAGATATCCATTTCCCCACCATCATTTCTGAGGAGTTTTAACATTTCTTTTTACTGCTTTCAGAGCTTGACGACCGAAAATAGTCCATGTACGTATGTTCTACCCTCCCTCATTGCTTGTATGACACAAGGCTCCACCACTCTGCATTCTCCTATTTGATGGGCTTTAATGTTGTAGATTTTATCCTACAACACAGTGTGACCCTCAGCATTATTTTTCTATGCATATGGTGTTCAAATTCTGTAAATTTTAATGCTTAGGAAGAGAATTTGTGTGATGGAAATGTATCTATCTGCTTTGGAAGTGTGTCCAAAATTGGCCTTTCTTGGTTGCTTTTGAGCTGCAGATGAACCCACTCTCTGGCAACTTGTTAGGATGAAGTGGTTCCCTGTGACTCTTAACATAGTAAGATTTCTAGGGAAGCATCTAAAAGCAGTCTCTTATCATCATCATCATCATCATCATCATCATCATCATCATCATCATCATCATCATCATCATCATCATCATCATCATCATCATCATTCTGTTCCTTCTCCATAATTCTCTCCTCAAGAATAATAAGTTCAATATCACTCTTTACTCTCTTATTGTCTTAACAGAAAGACAGACAAGACTCAACACCATTTCCTCCCTTATACAAGCAAGAGTTTTCAGCAGAGATGCTCTAAAATGTAAATACCAATGCTGAAATAATTGTGAACAGAATCAATGTCAGCACAGTAAGGTGCAAATACCCAGCGAGAAAAATAGGAATTCTTTTCCTGTGAAGTCACACCTTGGAATTTGGTTTCTCCAGGTAAATTTGCACTATGTGTTCACACACAGAGAGAAAAGGAAATTGACTGAATAGCTTGTTTGCAGCTTGTTATTGTAACTCTTCTGCAGCCCACTGCAGGAGGCATGGCTATAGGGCAATTACCTTAATAAGCTATAGACAAGGATTGAGTGGCAATTTTCTCCTCTCATTTCCCCCTTTCATTCTTTACTTCTTTTCTTGAAATTTACACTTCTTCTCCCACATAACCAGTTCAATGTAGAAGAAAAGTATACATAAGGGTTCTGAATACACAGTGTGCTACGTCTTAGTGGTAAATCTTATTTATTTATGTATTATTTATTTTGCCTGAACTTTATTCTTAAAAAGGAACCAAGGCAGATTACATCATTAGACAACAATATTTAAAGCTAAAACCAGCAAGTACAGAAATACTAAAAAGGATCAAACAAATACCACATGAAAAAAGGGTAAATGAAAGCAACACCAAAAAAACATTCAAAGCAGTAGGGCACAGCCATTTTACCACATGAAAAAAGGCTAAATGAAAGCAACACCAAAAACACATTCAAAGCAGTAGGGCACAGCCATTTTTTAAATGGACTGTTGTGCCTTGTGACTTTTTGATGCGTTTTAATATTGATTTTATTCCCCAATTTTATGTAATACTTGTTTAATTCTTTTTAAATATTTGCATACTTGTTTTCAGCTTTTAAATATTGAGAAAGGCAGGGTAAAAATCAAATAAATAAACAGACAGACAGACAGACAGACAGACAGACAGACAGACAGACAGACAGACAGACAGACATTGAGAAAGGCAGGGTAAAAATCAAATCACATCACATCACATCAAATCAAATCAAAAACTAAATAAATTGATAAATAAATAAATAGTTCTTACTGTAACAAATTAATGCTTTCTTTGTAATTTAACACTTCTAGTATCACTGCTACTCATATTGCTTTCATCAGCAAATCAGCTACCAGATCCCATCTTTCATGCACTCTAAAAGCACTCTAGACATGACTAGAAGCAAGCAAGGCCTCCTCCTTGGGAAGGGACCCAAACATCCTTAGCATATGCAGGCGGTGCACTTGGGATAACACTTTCTCTGGGAAGTCTGCAGAGTCAGGGGATCTGCCACAACTTGTTATAAATTATAACCCCTAGATCTTAAAAAAATCACACTAGCTCCTCAAGAGCAAAGATGGCTATAAGTCTGTTAGACAAAGTTCAGATCAGAAGGAATAATGCACATCTGTCAACATGAGACTTTCTATTTTTACTCCTTCCAAAGTGACTCTGTGCATTCTCATTGGCCACTGAAGTGCAGAGTATAATTTTCAGAAATAAACATATATAAATAAATGCTCAGGAGAAAGAAGCATGGATGCCTGATCTGAACAGATGGTTCAGAAAAGAGGCAAGGTCATGTATAATAGCCTTCATTTTCTATCTAATCGTTGCTTCTGCAATACTTCATTCTACTCACAGCTCAGCTCCATATATGAAGAACTCCTGTATCACTTCAACAAATTTAGTGTGGACTGACTGCCTCCTTTTCCAGCTGGGCCGGTCCCAAATTGTGCTAATAAGGGTATGACTAGATGGGGATTTGTCCTGCTGTTTTGTCTGCTCTGAGAATGCACTGGTTTGCTCCTTTTCTTGGCAACCATACAAAATGAATGACCCAGCTGGTCCCTGATAAGTTCCTGACCTCCCTTTTCTTTTGACTCCGTGTCAAGGGCTACTGTTTTTTAGGTGTGAGTAGGATTGCTCCATTTTGGTTTTGCTCCAGCACATGCAGTCACTGAGACTGAACCAATTGCACATGGCTTAAGCAGACAGCAGACAGTTTAAGCCATTTAACTATACTGGGAAACTGAAAGTTCCCTCTGCTCCTCCATGGAGAGGGAGAGACAGAGGAAGGAAAGGTATTGTGTTTTTTTTTTTTTAAAAAGCAGTGCTTATGTACTATGCCTTTTAGGAAAACAAATTAATAAACGAAAGCTTCCCCCTGAAGGAAGGAGGAAGCAAGAGAGGGCAAAGATCTTTTTGTCTCATTTTTGTTGATTTCTTATTTTTCTTCCCCTTTTAAGGGAGATGGGCCAAATGGAGTTGGTTGAGGTGCAGTGCAGTTTCCTATCTGAAATCACCCAATGGCATACTACACCCCTATGCCACCTTAAGTGACCCTGTTAACCCTGCTCTACCGCGTTGCAATGGGGGTCGTCCAGCCAAGGCCTAAGATGACAGTGGTAGCGAGGCAGCAATGGGGGACATACCTTCATTGTTTTCTACTTCCTTGTAGCGTTGGATGAATTTCATTTTTCTTTCTAGTGTTTGTGCCCCCATGGGCTTTGAGAGATCACGGAATGTACTGGGATTATTCAGGTCTAGAATCTAGAACACAAATTAATTTTATTCATATAGGAAACTATTTATTTATTTTATTTATACCCCGCCTATCTGGTCATTGCAACCACTCAAACTAGTCTAATACTGTGATGTAGAAACCCAAAAGCAAAGGGTATCACATATCTTCAGAAGGATGATCAATGAAAAACTGAGTGACTTACGGAGATAGCTTACCTGGGAGTGATAATCAGCAAGGATCCATGGGAATACTGGGTACTGCATAAGATCGCTGTACGTGCGCCCAGCCAGAGTGTTGAGGTACATGAGATATTCAAAGTTGCTTATTTCTCTCCTCTGTTGTGTAATGAAAACAAGGTTTATTGATACATCCATACACTCTCTTCAATAACAAGTTACAAGTCTCCCCCTGGATAGTGTGAATATACCACTTCTGGCTGTTGGTTAATTTTTAAACATAATCCTCCTTGGAAACAGTGTCTGCCTAACGGACTTTGTGCACATTGACTCCTAGACCTCACACACTGCATGTTGGACTCATGGAGGCCTAGTGGAAAACCTAATAAGAAAGCATGGTCATTTATAAGAAGACAGCTTCTGCCTCAGAATAAGCAACCATCTTGTCTAGTAATGCACTTTTCATCTACTGCCAGAAACACAGCTCTGGGAAGCAAGAAGATAAATAGTCTATTTGTTCTCCACATATTCAGACTGCTTCTGAAAGTAGAGGTTCCACTTAGCCAAGATACTGTAGTTAATAGTCAAAGATTGACAATTTATCTTCAGAGACTAGTCTATCGTCTTGAAAAGGGCTAGTGAACTGGAAGGTGCAGGGCTCCAAATGAGGGGAAAGGCCTCAAGGAGCACTCCTAGAACATGCATGGCTCAGAGGTTGTTTTGCTTCTCTTCTTGTCTTTCCCAGTTGGAAAGAAGTGTAGAGGGGACAAAGCTCATGTCCATGGATGGGGTTGATAAACTTAACTGTAATTCATCTGGTATCTGGAGAAACCATTTCTCCCAAGTGCCTGGAGAAACAGCTTCACAAAGCTGGCTGAGCTCATGTCCACACTGTGGATGGAGTTGATAAACTTAATTGTAATTCATCTGGTATCTAGAGAAACTATTTCTCCCAAGTGCCTGGAGAAACAGCTTCTCCAGCCTGGAGTACGTATTGTGAAGGTCAGGCAAATGAAAGCTACCCAAGAATTATTCCATCCCACCCCTCATCCCAGAGCGATTTTTCTATACTTACTTTTCTGTATGGCTGCCATTTTGGGTAAACTTTTTCACCCTGCAACACTGAAATCACCCTTCCATAAACATGTTCTGAGGGAAAATTCGCCACCTTCTTACCCTAAACCAGTGGTTCTTAACCTTGGGTTACTCAGGTGTTTTTGAACTGCAACTCCCAGAAACCCCAGCCAGCATAGCTGGTGGTGAAGGCTTCTGGGAGTTGTAGTCAAAAACACACACACATGAGTAACCCAAGGTTAAGAACCACTGCCCTAAACCTCCTTCCCATGGGCCGGCTGCTGAAGCCTAGGGAGAACACGGTCTAGAAACCCGTCACCAAATAGGCAGCAACTCCAAGTGAAGTCTCCTTTCTGCCAAGTAAATTGTGTTTGAGGCAGGAGGCCATGTGGGACAGAAGAATGGTCATACTTCCAGTATTAAAGGCTATGTGCCCCTGCGTAGACCTTTGGTCTAGATGGGCAGGATAGAAGTCCAATAAAAATGAATGAATGAATGAATGAATGAATGAATGAATGAATGAATGAATGAATGAATGAATGAATCTGTGTATCAGTAGCTGGAGAGCTTGAGACAGAAAATGCAGGTGCATTTATGTCCTGTTGGCAGGCTTTGCATAGGCACTTGGCTGCCCACTAGTCTGAACAGAACACTGCACTGGACTGACCCTTGATGAGCATGACTTTTTATATGCCCATAATGGGGTACTCTTTATCGTTACCCCATTATGGTGAAAGCAGTGGTGGAAGCAAGAAAATAAGACCAACCCAGCATGTTCAGTATGTGGGCTCTTGCCTTATGCATTCCCTCTTCTTCTCAAGTTTACAGCCACTCCCTTGGAGACCACTCATTGATCTTCCAGCTTCCCTGAAAATCTAGCCATTTGCTGCTGCTGTAATCATAAAAGCCACTGGTGCTGCATCCTTGATCTGTTCTACTTCCTCACTTGACCTTCCCTGCTAAGAACTGAAAGACTGCAAGACCAACACAGGAAAGCAGCCATCTGCTGACTCCATGGCCGCAAATCAGAGAGCAAGAAATGGTGTTATGCCAAAGGGCAGCCAGGACATTACTTACTCTCTAAATCAAGTGTTGCAACTAATTTCAAGTGTACACCTACAGAAAGGAGGAGACTGTTGGCTCTCCTTCCTTCCTTCCTTTCCGTTTGGCTCTGAGTGTGTGTGGTGGGTAACGGGGAGACAGCAAAATATTGCAGAAAAAAATATGAACAACTGCCCCAAAAATTCATGGCAGAAGTGTGCCAGGTATGCTTCTTAAGGTGAAGTCAAATCTGGTGACAACCAGCTTCTGAGATGTGTCTGGTTTAATACTTAACTCTTGGTAACATGTGGCTGGAATTTGATGCTTGGCTATGCAGACAGAGGACAGCCAATGAATCTGACATGTCTTTCCCTCCTACACAAAGTTTGCCTGTTTTTGAAACTCAAGTTCCCTGTTTGGCTGCACAGAAATGTAGCAATCTCCATCAGAAAGCTGGGATAAAGTTTGGTTTACTCATCAGGTAAGAGAAGCCAATTAGAGCCTAATTATTAATGGATCCTGGTGAGTATGCAAGCCAATGTTATCCTCAGAATTATTGGGATAATTGTTTATATTTTTTCTGCACTGTCCACAAGATACAGGTCCATGCTGTGGAAGTTGACTTTAATTATGAAAGTGTGTGCTGATTTGTTTGATTTTTTAAAAGTGGCCTAATAAAGACATCACCTTCTCCTGCATTTGTATTGTGTAAGGACCACATGATGCACTTTGTTGTTGTTGTTTTCAAAATATTACTGTCATTTGAACTTGAGCCCTCTGAATGTGGGTAAAAAGGATTAAAGCAATCTTCTTAGGTCACTTAGGCTTAAGGGTATCCCTTGCAACAAACAGACTTCCATCCAACTGGCACCAGGTTGATGGATTTGAAAGGAATATCGTTCATCAGAGATACGGTATATATCTTTTTACCTGCCACTTCAGAAGCATGGGCTTTTCTTTTCCTGCACTTCTCCTGGAAAAAAACAAAGGCCATGTTAGTTGGGAGTCCCTTCCCCTCTGACAGAACTAGAACTGCAAAGACAGTAAATGATGGCAATAAAATCTAAATAGCTGCAATTATTTATTTTTACATATATATCTCACTTTTCATCATCCGTTCTGCAAGGTATTACTAAACCATAGTATTTTCCTCATGGATAAAATATATTTTTGAGTACAAAAACTAAGTGCATTCATGAGAAGATTAATTAACATTTCTGGCTTATTTGAATTTATTTCTCTTTTTTGCTTTTCTCTCCAATAAAATTTTTCAACCAACATCAGAAAGCTGTTATTTCCCCAAAGGGCATGACTCTCCAGCGGCCATTAATTTCCAAGCCAGATCTCCTAATCTGGTTTTGGGGTACCATTTCCAGCTAATGGGTGCCACCAAATGTAGAGTTCTAAAAAAACAAATGACTGATGTGTCAAGTAGATAACATATTTTCTCTTAAATGTCCCAGCAACTTTGAACACTACATTTTAAAAAGGATTCTTTAAACCAGGATTTAAAAGCAACATGCAGCAGAAGTCCAGTATAGACTCTGATGGTCAAACAATATATTACAGATAGCACATTATTACAAGATAGAATCCCTTAAGCACTAAAAACTGTCTGATGGACACAGCAGGAGCTTTTCACACCGCTCATTCACTGCCAGTTAAATTCCTTTGTTTTGCCATTGGACGTCATTGGATTTCACGAATCACAGAGGTCTGCCTGCATCATATTTCTGGAACACTCACGAGATTTCAGCTTCTTACTACATGCTATTTCTAATGCTGGACCCCAAATATTTCCCAGTTCTGGGCAGGCATTCCCCAAGGTATCAAAAAAAGCTTGTGAGAAGTGTTTAGCAATGTTATGATTAAATCTTTGGGGAGGAAAAGAGGGCTATGTACTAGAATATTAAATACCTTTATACGGACCCTAGCAGGCTGGACAATGCTACACACACATAATACTTAGTGTTTATAAAGTGGTTTTAAATGTTCAAAATGCTCCACATACAGCATTTTATTGTGATCTTCATAACACCCTTGCAAGGTAGATCTGTGCTATAGTCTCCATTTAGGGCAGCATGAATAAGAGACAGAGGATGACCTTTTAAAAAAAATAACCCAAAGAATTAGTAGCAGAGGTAAGAGGTAATATCTGAAATCAAGAGTTTGGAGATAGTGGGTGTGGTAGGAAATTAGTTACCGTGACCTAAATATCCATGCAGAAGAATAAGGCAGGATAACTGAGGTATTCCTTAACTATACATTAGTTCCATTAGCAACCTTAGAGTTCTGTTAAAGCGTGCTGCTTATATACCGCCCCATAGTGTTTCCTTAACTATACAAGTACTGTAGTTCCATTAACAACCTTAGAATTCTGTTAAGATGTACTGTATATGTCAAAATGGTCAAAGAATTAGTAGCTTCATACAGAATTGCTCATTTCACCTGTGCGTGGGTGTCTCTTTCTCAAGGTGGAAATATCAGATCCCATGTTCTAGGGCAGAGACAGTCTTCAGGCATTTGAGATCTCATCATTCCCACATAACAATTGCATTACACTATTACAGGATTTAATTCAGAATTGCTCATTTCGCCAGTGCATGGGTATCTCTTTCTCATGGTGGAAATATCAGATCCTATGTTCTAGGGCAGAGACAGTCTTCAGGCATTTGAGATCTCATCATTCCCACATAACAACTGCATCACACTATTACAGGATTTAATTGTCTTTTAGAAAAAAGGACTAGACTGAGAAAGGCAATTTTAAAGCAACAAAAAGAGCATGCTTGAAGGAACCAATAACAAATGTGCCATTAAATTCCACTTTCTTTCAGAACAAATGTTGTCTTTTGTTTGCTATGTGCTCTTATTGCTTCCAATTTATAGCGACCCTGATAAGGTGTCTGAGGTACAGTATGTGAGATGTTCAAGGTGTTGTTCATGGTTGCTACCTGCTAAGGTCGAGCAGGGATTTGAACCCACGTTTCCTGAGTCCTAAGTCTGACATTCTAGCCATTACACCACACTAATTAACAAACTAGTACAGTAATGCACATACAACAAACCAAGGTCGAGCAAGGATTTGAACCCACGTTTCCTGAGTCCTAAGTCTGACATTCTAGCCATTACACCACACCAATTAACAAACTAGTACAGTAATGCACATACAACAAACCCAGCATTCTTCAGTATTAATTTAAACATTTCCTGCAAATCTTCCATTTTCCAATATTTAACAATAAAGCTTTGAAAGCTCAATATTCCCTCAAAGCAATGCCCAGACAAGATGTTTTGCTTCCTGTAGTAGAACAAAATCTTTTCTCTGGCCTAAAAAGAGGTATGCTTACTGTCTTACATTACATGCTTTTCCAGGTTAAAATGTGTTTTTTCCAACCATTTTCATTTAACAAATGGCTTAGCCTTAGCGCATGCTTTTAATTGCTGCCTCATTTTATTCTTCTGTGTTTTGGAGACATTTTAGAACAAAATCTTAAATCCACCTTCCATAACATGGTTAACACCTTTATTTGGCCAGTATTTTAGTGCTTTGCGATTTATTTGCTGTTCATCATCCCGGAATCTTCTCGATGAAAGATGCATAAAAATATATTAAGTAAATAAACACAACAGACACTAATTCCTGCCTCTCTCCCCCCCACACACTTCATGGTTTTGACTGAAGCAGGTCACTTCATCCAGCTGTGATGAAAGATGCATAAAAATGTATTAAGTAAATAAACACAACAGCCACTAATTCCTGCCTCTCCCCCACCCCCACCCCCGCTTCATGGGGTTGACTGAAGCAGGTCACTTCATCCAGCTGCGCGGTTGTGTATGTGGGGAGGGGGCTGTGTGTTACTGCAGTTATTGGATGGCCGGTTTCCTTGCCAGACCACCTGCTATGTTGCCTGGGCTAGATACAGTGTGATGATGATGATCTCATAGATGTTGTGAGGCCTCCTGTACACCAGTCTGCTTTCCCTCTAGAATAGTCAAACAGCAAAACTCAGCCAAGAGTCTAATCAGCCTCTGAAGTTCACAAGCTTGTTCTTATTCCCTGCCCAGAACTGTTTCTATTAATAGTAACTGCTGGCTCGTCAGGCCCGGAAGGTGCAGCGGGGGCCCTCCCTACTGCCTTTGAACATGCAATGTTGGAAACCAGGCATATGCTAATGATCTCCAAGGGCCTGGAATTTCTTGTTGCTTAGGAACAAAAGTTGCACAGACAGCATCACAAGAGCTGACTAGAATATCACACAAACAGGTAAGACGCCCTCTCCCAAACTAAGCCACCATTTCCCCCCCTTTTTAATATTTCCAACTAGGGTTTTAGAATTTGTGGTCTGGGGAAACAAGAGGGAGGAATGTCTCCCTTGCAGCCCTCAGGTTTTGTTTCCAAACAAGCCACCATTTTTTTTTCCTTTTTAATATTTCCAACTGGGGTTTTAGAATTTGTGGTCTGGGGAAACAAGAGGGAGGAATGTCTCCCTTGCAGCCCTCAGGTTTTGTTTCCAAACAACAGCAAAGAAATGGTCTATTGTTCAGAGGAGATTAAGAAAAGAGAAGAAAAAAACAGCTTGCTAATGGACAAAGCATGGGCTCAAGGTCCAGTCCAGTGGTGGTGAAGTTAAGTGATCTGAAGTCTCTCCAAGTGCCAGCTGGTAAGGCAGTCTCCTGTTGACATACAGATGCTTAGCAAGCAGATAAATCTCTCTTTTTTTGCTAATTCTCTAAACATCTTGTGATATCATGAAATATGTTCTGGGATCATCACAGAAACTGTTATGCAAGAGAATCTATCCAATCCTGCTTGGAAATGCAGGCTGTATGTAACTTGATATAATTTCTTTGTGGAAATCAAAGAGACTGAACTGATTGGAGGCATTTTATATCAGCAGCAGCAGAACAGCCATTAAATGAATTGGTCGAGTAATTCCTAACTGTAGGACCAGATTTGTGTCTTGTTCAATTTTAGGGTAAAACTAGATGTGATGACAAATGTATCACCTGTAGTGCTACAATGTTGTTGCTTTCCTGTTATTGATACTAGCCATGGAGTGTGGGGTAGTTTTTGTCAGGACTGTAGAGTATGGGAAGGGGTAATTCACCTTTTTCTTCTTTTCCAAAGTGCTGATGATATTGGTTCTCAGTAACAAAATTAATCCCCCCCCATGCAAAGCATCTTTGAGAGGAATGGGTTGTTGAGCGTCCTAGCGTCACCAGGCTGAAGAGAGCTTCATCTATTGAAATGCACACAGGGAGTGCAAAGCTCTCAGAGAAACAAAGACACAAATTCCACAGTACAAATAGGTTTGGAACCTGGTATTCTATTTATCATTCCTCCTATTCATTTCAGTTTGGGATGGTGATCTCTGGTGGTCTGTCATTGGTCCATTTAACAAAAAAATTAACAAAGGATCACCTAAGTGGCTTTGGATTGTTGAGACCCTCCACAAGTGTGGCAACACATTAAGCCGGTGTGTGACAGCAGGTTTATGGATCCAAATTTTATTTCTGGCCTGTTGTTCACTGAAGGGAAATGTCCTGGGCCATTGAAATGCTCGCTGTTTAACCTGTGGTGTGGATAGTAGTAAAAGCTTATTTCTCCACTACTGCCATTTCTTTCATCACCCACCAGCAAAGCTGTTCTGGTTGATGAAAGGCCTTCCAATCTGGGCAAAGGAAATGACAGAAATTCCCCCTGAAACAAGATCAGGATGATATTCTGATGGTGTGTGGTAAAGGCTTCAAAGTTATGTTTCAGATTTTGGGCTATAAGAACATGAACAGACTCCCGAAATAACTGAGATTAGTCTTTTCCCTTCTGTTTAAATCAGCAAGACTGAGCATATCTAACTAGATCTTGGAAGTAACCAGTAAATAATCCTTTAGATCAGTGGTCCCCAACTTTGGGCCTCCAAATGTTCTTGGACTTCAATTCCCAGAAATCCTGGCGAGCAGCGGTAGTGGCAAAGGCTTCTGGGAGTTGTAGTTCAATAACATCTGGAGGCCCAACGTTGAGGACCACTGCTTTAGAGGGAATGATTCTGACAGTTCTGTAATGATATTAGTGAAATGAAACATTGGCCTTACTACTTGTACCCAGTCTCTTGTATCTTAGTAATGGATCTGAGTAGATGGTTGCAGGATTTTCTGAATGAAATTGATTATTTGGCATCATTCCAGTTTGTTTTTTCATTTCCTCCCTCTGCAGTTACTGTAAAGAAAGGGTTTCCTGTCATAATATTTTCCTGTTTCTTTGGTGGCTGAAAGGCAGCTGATTCCTTGGCAACAAATGTTCAGTAATGAATTCTTTAGTATAAGTTTGTTTGCATGTAAATCGTGATGGCCCTGCACTAACAATATAGGCAGAATCAAAAAAGCAAAGATTCCAACTAAGTACATACAGCTATGCAGGCTATGCGTTAGTAGGTTTTGCTGCTTCAGGAGGAGGACTTGCCTAGCAACAGGTTTTGTTGAGAATAAAATGAAAACTAAATGAATCAAACCAGTTCAAAGGAAGCCGGTATTTCCTTGTCTTCCTGGATATGCATCTAACAGGTTATGTAGTTATATAAGTAATCAGTACCAAATATGCCTTCGTGAATACATAGTACCAAATATGTACTATACTGTGCCCAGTCAACATTTTGGAAAGTTTCCTGGGCAATGCATCTAAGCCCTACAGGTACTTAACTGATGGATGTATCTTTTGGTTTAAACTAAAAGTATCTCTAGAGTTGAGAGTAATTGCATGTCACTCAGAGTCTATGACTACATGGCCTAAATCCAGTGACTGCAATAATAATATCTCTAGAATGTCATAGGTGCATCATGCGTCCATTACAAACTTCTCTAGTGACTTAAACTCTCTAGTTTATAATCTTTTGAACTGGGTATTATCTTTTATTTATAACTGTTCCCTATTTTGAGCAATGAAAAAGGGGGGGTCACCTTAAAGTTTTGTATGCTTTATCCATTATATTTGAGCTTTGACAGAATTTTGATGTAAACATGTCATGAGAACGGGAAAAAGGGAACAGCATTAATTTGGGCAATTCGTTATTTAAGATCTGGAGCTCTGCTTTTTCAGAACTCTTCACAGTCAGTTGTCATAAGCCTGTGGTCAAACCCCTATACAATGGGAGTGTTTAAGGCTGGAGGAACAAGGTATGACCAATTCTTGCTAGTCCAATGCTCCAAACATTTTTCAGTAAACAACCACATCCCCTGTATGAAAATGGCACTCTGTACATTTCATCAGGGAAAACCATAACTTCCACAGTCTTCGGAGGATGAAATGCCAAAAAACAAAGTGCATTTTCTAACTGGTACCATGTGCTTACAAGCCTTAAGATGAGTCAAAAAAGGTAGCAGAAAAATCACATTCTCAAACTCTGGGTGGAATTATTACCACAAAGGAAATTGAGGTTGCTGCTGCTGTTGTTTATTTTATTTGTTTATTTATTTATTAGATTCATACCCCACCCATCTAGACTATGTTGTTGTTATCATCATCACTACTACTATGATGACAATACCAATGTTGAAATGTCTACAGTGTTATCCAGCCCACCTCCTGGCAATGGATTCTGTGACTAAAATGTGTAATTTCTCTCTCTCTCTCTCTCTCTCTTTCCTTATGCATTTGTACATATGAGCAGTAACTACAGACATGGTAGGACATGGCAGAAACAAAATACTGTGTTGTAGGAATTTATACAGTACACATGCAATTTGAGTAAAGGTAAAGGTAAAGGTTCCCCTCATGCAGTTTGAGTAAAGGTAAAGGTTCCCCTTAACAATTTTTGTCCAGTCATGTTCGACTCTAGGGTGCAGTGCTCATCCCCGTTTCCAAGCCATAGAGCCAGCGTGTTTTTTTTTGTCTGAAGACAATCTTCCGTGGTCACATGGCCAGTGCGACTTAGACATGGAACACCGTTACCTTCCCACCAAGGTGGTCCCTATTTATCTACTTGCATTTGCATGCTTTCGAACTGCTAGGTTGGCAGGAGCTGGGACAAAGTGACGGGAGCTCACTCCGTTGCGTGGATTCGATCTTACGACTGCTGGTCTTCTGACCCTGCAGCACAGAGGCTTCTGTGGTTTAGCCTGCAGTGCCACCACGTCCCTTTTGAGAGGAGTTTGAGAGGAAGACCTAAAATGGTGGACTAGCACCTGGGATGATAGTTCATTTAGCTCATGTCTTGAGGGATGACAGCTGCTTTCCTGTGATCTTATTCCATGGTATTGCTGTAATGCCGTTGAACAAGAAGGAACATTAGTTTCAGGAACACTGCTACACTTATATGCTACTTTACACAATACTCTCACAGTATATGGTTATCACGCCAGAAAACCTTGATTCATTTGTGTTAAATCTTGCTTAAATTATTTCCTAACTTTATAGAATTCTCATAGAAATCCAAATAAAGGCCCAACCGAGAAGCAGCTTTAAAGCAGCTACTCCTTGCTGCTTCCTATTCTGCCTAGATCCAGGGTTTTCAAAGGAAATCTTCCACCGGATCCCACTGCCCCACTTGGGTTAGTGATTCTCTTGCCTCCTGAAGCCTCTCCCCCCCCCCCATGCATGCTTAAACATGATTCAAGGGCTGGAACAGGTTTTTGGTGGCACAAAGAGCCGCAACAGGAGAGGAAGGAAATAAGGTCCCAGTTCTGCTGCAATCGATACCAAAGTACACTGTTCAGTCTTTGTCAGTGTTGGCTTTAATTGGATGTCAGAGAACGTGGGTTAATCCTCATTCCTGAACCAGGAACATCTTGTTGGCTTCAAGACTTTGATTAGAAAACCGTTAGAAAGTTCATGTCAGATGCTGAATGCAATGGATACTATTTTCAAAAATATCGCAGAAAAAAAGATTTTGGAAGCCTCTTCCAAACCCACAGTCCCGTGGAAGGCCATAAAACTATATTCTCTATGGAGAGAAATGCCCCGGGTTGTTCCCTTCTGCTTCTTCTCCCCCACCACAGCATATTTTGGAGGAGGCTAAGCATTTATGTGAAATCCCTATCGAGTACAGTGTTAAGGGCTGTAGTACGCCACTGAAACAAGCTGAAATGCATTATCTTCCATCTGATCTCTACATCCATGTACTTCCACATGATTAATGAGCAGTCAAAAAGCCTGAAGGGCTTGTAATGAAACCTTTCTAATGGGAAAGTGTATTGTAGACAAATCTATATTCTGTTCAAACAATCATTCATCAAAACCGTGATCTGACTCTTCACAATTAAATGCTGGAG